TACACATCACATTTATGCCCATAATCACAGCACATATCCTGCTGGGCACAACAGTCATGTCAGATCAATAGAGAGCATATAATGCAATTGGCACCACTCCGGGATTGACTCATAAAATGGTCATTTATTCTGTTAAGTTTTTGGATCCAAACTCAGGTGCCAATAGCCAATACCCAAAGCATCGAACGTTTGTGGAAATCTGCAAAAGAGAGAAACAAGCGCCACAACGGCACACACAGACATATGCTCGACTTGTCAATGTGTGAGTTCATGTGGCGTCAACGTGTTAAAGTAAATGGTTTTTATGTCTTCAACTATATTCTAGACGATATTGTTCAATTTTGGCCACTACAGTAGCGGAGGAGCTTTAAAGAAGTATGTATGTAGGCACTTGAATACAAAATTTTAAAAAATTGAAATAATTTTTTTAATAACACAGTTAGAGCAAATTTCAAATAAAAAAAAGGAAACCAGAATCAACTTTTTAGCTTAAGTACTTCTTGAGCTATGAATTTTTAAAGTGTGAGTTCGTTTGGTATTTTTTACTATGGACGAAACCTCTACATCTTGTGACCTCATTCCGCTGAACGCGTCATGCGCAATGACTATATACTTTATATAAGGCAACGCATCGCCTTATCACTAAAATACTGTTTAGGGGTCGAATTAGTTTAAACTTTCAACTTTGGCACATGAATAATTAATTAAAGCTTTCCCTGACCAATGGTATAGTAGTTTTTGCACACGGCAAACTCTTATGAATGAAACTCTGAGGTAGTACTACGATACAGCCATTATGCAAGTGGCTGTGAATGGTTGCCAATGACAACGTGTTGCACACTGTAAATTCTGATCATTTATAATATGGATTCTACCGGGTTGTTAAAGCTCAAATTAAAACATTCCAGTTTAAATGTCTTCAAAATGCATTCTGAAACACAAGTTATCAATTATTTTGATGTAAATAGTGGTAATAAATTAATATTTCCTAAGTATCGGCAACTTCCGCCATTAAAAAGGGGGCGTGGTCCACCCCATGGCGAAATTAGGTTGAGCGAGCTGCATGACCTGCTGCGACAGCGTAGAAACATGGTGTCTCTCGTAAGACACTTATCGCTGTGAAAATTGGCATATACATGTAGATCAATAGATTCCCCAGATGCAAAAAAAATTTGGTAGTGACAAATTTTTTCCTTCAACTTAATTTTAATGATGAAAGTTGCCTTATATTTACCAAGGATTTTCTCAAAGCTGACTGATTGTAAATGAAAAAGAAATTGATTAAAATGTAGGCCAAGATGTCTACCTAATTAAAGGCCGAAAACGGAACTCAAATATATATCGAAAGTACTAATTTAATAATAAATAGACACACACATCGGAAAATTAAAAACTCAGATTTTCCGGCGCCGATTTCTATTTCCGATACACAAAAAGTGTAGTCTCCCTTGTTTCATCGAAGTATCTCATGTATGTTTTGTTTTTATTTAAAATAACATTTGTTTTAGCTTTATTGGAACTGTGAAGTGTTTTAAGTTTTAATGAAAATAATCATAATAATGTATAATAATCTTTGAATAAAAGTTTTTAAAGCTAATTCAGATTGATCAGGTTTAGGGAAGCATTCATTAAGGGTTCAGGTAAGGTTTAGGGATACATTTAGGTAGGTACTTGGATATGAGGCTATTTTGACGCAATCGCGGCCCATAGGGTTTTGAGACGCTTTTTTGGGTGTGCTGGATGATAGGGTTCACTAAAAAATTATTTTTTCGCGCTAGAAACGTCGGATCAACGAACGAATTACTGTTCTAGTTACGTTAATGAACGGGCTTTAACGACATCCATTTTGTTTTCAGTAATATCAGTATGTCGTAAATAAAAAAAAATGTGAGAAAGCAGCTAAGTCTAATTTATCAATATTTTGAAAACTATTCGTTGTCCCATTTTAAATCGACCTGGTGTACCTGTGAAATTGTATAAAATATCACCATGTAAAATTTCAAGTCTCTAAGATGGCCATAACAATGTTATTTTTGGCCAGAACGGGTCTAAAAATTAAAAAAAAAAAAAAAAATGGCCGAAAACGAAAGTGACAAACCGGAAACAGTATTATTTAACTATAGTTGACAGATAAGAAAGCCCAAGACATTTTTTATGCCTTAAGCAATCAAGTTCCATCTTAATTAATATTAGGTTTTATTTTAATATCTATACAATAATAGACATATTAAGTAATATTTTATCAGATACTGCTCCATTTCAAGTTAAATCATAATTTTTATTGTAAAAATTGCCTCTATTATATTTCCTTTTTAAAAATAAATTACGTTTGGTCTTAATTTTTTTTAATAATTTTTTTTTTTTTTGTGGAAGTTTTTATAATGACATTAAAAATATTTTAAAAATATTATATTTAATTTTTTTAGTTTTTAAATCAACAAAGATGTTGCTAATACGATGATGAACACTTCTGGAAAGTTTCATAATATTTGTTCACTCTGCTATAAAGTTATCAGCCTTTTCGTGAAAATTTTTTGAAAAGAGGTCACAAATCTCTATGTTAAAAAAAGTGAGTTTTTATTCACGAAAAAAAATCATAACATTTTAACCAAAAGTGCTACATGAAAACATATTATTACTTCATTTAACAAGAGCTATCTTACAGGTGTGTTCATTTTTTAATTTATTCAATTTGAAAATTTTATCCAAGTACCTAATTTAGGACATAAGTTCGTGGGTCACGATAACCAAGATGGCGGCCGCGGGTTGATCTCTCAGAATTGTTTTTTATTCAAAAGAACATTTGATTTATGGGAAGTGTGAATAATAATAATTTTTGCGGTGAATTAAAATTGAAGTATCCACTTCTGATGCCGGGTCCGAATAGTCGCAGCCAAACTTTTCATTACAATTACAGATAAGACAGTAGCCAATTTGCCGCCAAAAAAAAAAAAAAAGCAACTTTGATCTTGAATGATGTCATGTTAATGATTATAGAAATATATTTAAAATAGAATTTAAAAATACAAATAAATTATAAACATAAACGTATTCTTACTTGCTTTTCGCTGTACGTCAAATTGTTCGTGTTTCTTCAACGCCACATTAAATTTTTCAAAATATGGCAAATTTCTCGATTGATAATAATGGCTCTAAGTTCTAAGATGGCAAACCAACAGGAAGTATCCGTCATAACCATCACGTGACCAACCCAATATTATAAAGCCTCACGTGACCAGCCGGGTCTGAATAGCCAATTGCTGCTATAGGTACTCAGGTACCTAAAGCCACTCCGTAATTTTTAGGGTTTTAACAATATAAGATTTATTTAATGTGTGTCTGTGCACTGCAGAAATACTGGTCAGAATGTTAGCACACTTAGTTAGTGCAAGAGATGTACAAATGTGGCCTCTCTTCACCTGTAGCTCCTGTTGCAGGTATGAAACAAAGACAAGGTTCAAGTGTCGTGTGCAGTCAAGATAAATGATATTGATAGCATTGATAGAGTAGTAATACGATATTTTGAGAATTAGGTGAATGTAAAGTGAGTAGCATTAATAACATCCCTGCTTGAACGGATTTGTAAAATCTGTAACATCTATTTTGCATCACAAGTCATGTTGAAAAAGCATGTTCAACAGAAACTAAAATGCCCTCTTGAGCATAAGAAATTAGCACCTGCTCCTCAACAAAAAAGGATTCGACCAATGCGAATAGCTGTAAGGAGATAGAGAGAGAGAGCTTACGGCCATTATTGCTCACACCGACAATGCTTCAATTTTAAGTGCTGAATGGTTAGATGAGGATGATGTTGACTTGTCTGGTATATCAGTGCCGCCAGATGAAAATGATAAATCAGCTACTATAGACTATGCCCATCAGGGGCATCCTTTTTATTTTTTTCAGGGGGGGGGGCAAAACAAAAACTTGGTCATTTAGTTAAGTTGTTAATTACTGGATGCGCCACAGTAAATAGCAATTTAAATAAAACCTGCAAATGACCCGCCCTACCTAAATGATATCCCTGATGCCCATTGTTACGATAGAGCAAACCTGGCTACTCCTTGGGAAGATGATAACAGCCAGCTAGAAACTATACTATAATTGACAGCTTTGCTGACAACAATCATATTTATACCACAAACAGTGATATTTAGACTTTAACAATCTTTCAATTTATTCTGCATTATAATATTTAATTGTCTAACTTCTTAACTTGTTGATTAACAAGCTATAAAGATGTAATGAAATGTTTTTCCAACAATTTTATTGTCATTAAAATAGATCAGCATAAAGTGAAATGTATTTATATATTTATTTAAGCGGGACGGTTTGGAGGGGGGGGGGAAATGTTGACATAATTAAATGGTGGGGGGGGGGTCATTGAAAGTTTGACAGTTGTTGACAAGGTGGGGGGGGGGGTGTCAAAAATTGCATAAAAATTTTTGACGTAATTTATGGACGACCCTTTAGATCATTGTTGTTTGAAACTCCAAATAGATTTTTCTATTTTAGAGTTTTGGGGAAAATAATACTTCTTCAACTTCCCATAACATAAATCGCCTAGTAATAAATGCATTTTTGCTTTTTGTAAATATGGTAATAAGGGGGAGAGACTGCAATCAGGTTAGCACTTTTCAGTTAATAATTAATTTAAATTTATTTAATTTAAAAAAAGAAAATAATAATTTTAATGTAAAAATAACTCTAACTTAAAGTTGTTACAGTTCTTAAATACATTTATCTCCTGAACTTCAATTAATTTGTTTATATTCTAGTCATCGTTCTACTGNNAGGTTTACACCATGAGTTACCGCGCGGGTGACACCAACTCTAGCTACACCGTTGGAAAAAAAAAAAAGGGGGGGGGGGTAGTGCGGCCTCCAAAACTATAAAAACTGCTTTAATGGCCTTCAACAGCGGCCAGCGATTCAGTTTCAAGTCAGAGGCCAAGTTCAGGTCAACACAAAAACGTTATTAATAGAAGTAGGCTTACTGTCGTAAACAAATAAGTGTGTAGCACGCTGCACGCGATAGACTAGATATATAGTTATAGAGCTTTGTACAGTGGAATTTCGACTGTGCCAAATGTCTACAATAGTTTTCACGGTAGCTTTTGTTATAGCTGCAATTTGTATAAAAGTTTTCATCGTTGATACGAACTTTTTATACTGCGCACAAAATAAAAAAATGACATCTACCTTCAACAAAAGTTATGATTTTATCATTGGTAAGCATTTTCACATTTCCAGTTATTTGGCCATAGTAACAAACAATTTTTTAGACACAATTTGTCTTTCCAAAAGTTTTTTTTTTTTTTTTTTTTTTTTTTATAAATTTTTTTTTTCAAAAATTTTTTTTTTTTTTTTTTTTTTTTTTAACTTCATGCGGACTTTGCCACGTTAATTGGTAATATTGTTGTTTCTCAAATTGTTAGCAGCCGCTAGGGCGCCGCCAAATATTTAACACATTTTTCATGATTTTAATTCTATTTACTTAATTTACGATGGGATTGGACTTGACACCTCGCTGACCATGTGTAAACCTCAATTAGTAGGATTAGTTTGCATAAGCCTCTAAAATGGTAACTAAGTGACTCTTACTTAATTAATGTTTGTTTTGTTCAAATCTGTTTTGTTTGTGTTAACCAAATCTTTAATTATAAAACAATTTTATTTTCGCCATTTTGTAGAGTACGGTCCTTTAATGTACTTGGTAAAAACTGGACTCAGCAAGGGAGCAGAGAATCTAAAAAGTTTGGGAACCACCGAGTCAGATCATTTTGACACATGCCCGTAAATAGCATAAATATATAGCCTAAGGTTAAGGCTTACAAGAAACGCACTTTAAAAAAACCTGGCGTATAGACAAAAATCAACAGGTCTGCAACCTCTAACCTTAAAACAATGCATATTTAATATTTATTAAAGTTAAAGTTTTGAAAATTTGAAGGTAAATAATGTTTAACTTTGTCTTGGAATGCAAGGTAGTAAATAACTATTTGGTTCAGTTATGTGATGTAGGCCTACCATATATATGCACATATTATGTATGTTATATATCATTTAAATATTTGTATGCTTGCATCTGATCAGTTGGGGCTGGCTCTGCTGGATGTCTGGTTGCTGGGCGTCTATCAGAGGACCCTAATGTAACAGTTTTGCTTCTGGAGGCAGGCGAGCATGACTTCGACAAACCACAACTGCTGATCCCAGGTTTAGCAGCTGTTACGCTGAACAGTGACCAGGACTGGCAGTACTACACAGAACCACAGAGCAATGCACTCAAGGGACTTACAAATGGCGTAGGTTTCTTTTAAAAAATTAAGAACTAAACAAACCCTAAATAGAAAAGTTTTTGGTACAAATCCTTTATATCATGCATTTTTAATTTTTTAATTTTATGTTAATATTCTAATGTCCCACCATTTTAAAACCACAGATTTATTTCTCTAATTATTTCAGAAAAGAAAGATAATCTTATGCACAAAACGCATTTGCAAATATTTTTTTTTAAAGAATCTCATTTAGCGCAGTTAAAAAATTTAAATCTCATTTAGCGCATTCGGAATTTTATTTCTCAACAACATATTACCATTAACCATATAAAATTCCAACCTATCACTGACATTCTTCCCCCTAAAAAACAGGAAAAACTGATTTTTGGGGTTGGTGGTGGGGCTAAAAATTTGAAATAATGTGTTGTCATATGCTACAATTCAATATGCAAAGTTTCAGCCCATAGGTTGATGGGCAGTGGGTCAATTAAACATCTGAAGATTTTGTCCTAACAACACAAAAGCGAAGTTAACATAATGGATTTTAAAAAGCAAAAGTGTACATCTATTTAAAAAAAATATAATTACATTCTTTAAAATCTGCTTTTAAGAAAAAAAATGTCAATTTATGTTTTCGCCTTGCCACTTTTAAATAACTAAATATTATGCTGGTATATGAAATATGCAATGGGTATAGGAAAACCTGAAGAAGAACAATAACATAAATATTTTTTATTGTCCTTCAGGTTTTCCAAAACCCTTTTATATTTTGTTATTGTTGCAACCTAAATGTAGTCTTCCCCATATTTCTGGTTTATGATGGGTATCATATTGTAAAACATTTTCGATAAATTAACAGCGTTCCTTTTGGCCCCGTGGCAAAGTCATGGGTGGCTCAGGCAGCATCAATGGAATGCAGTACGTCCGTGGGTCTAGACATGACTATGACAGGTGGGCCAAGTATTTGGGAGATGACCAGTGGGACTACAGGCATGTCTTGCCTTATTTTAAGAAATCTGAGAACATTCAGATTGAACATCTTAAAAACTCAGGTATTTTTTAAGCATAGACCTCTATCTTTTTTGGGTAAAAGAATAAATTATTATTTGATATGGAAAATATTCTCTGTTTCTTAGTATCTGTCAGTGGGGTAGAAACAAGTTGTCCAAGTAATTTTTTTTTTTTTTTAATATTGATGAAACTTGAAATTTTAATAAAAATATTTTATTTTCAAACTTGAAAAAAACAATAAAATTCTTTCATTTTGCTTTAAGTTTTTAATCTAATTAATTTTAAAATAAAAATAAAAAATTATAATTAATACTATTAAAAAAGTGTCACAATTAGAAAGATTCTATTCCATAATTGATACTTTTAATTATCAGATTACCATGGCCAGGAAGGGGAGATTACCATTAACCACATAAAATCCCAGCCTATCACTGACATTCTAATTCAAGCTGCCCAGAGTGTTGGCTACCCAAGCAATGTTGATTACAATGGGAAATCAATGGAAGGTAACATCATAATTAGTAATATCAAGAAGAAGGGGGAGTGGCTGCTATGCATTTTAGCTAAGTGTTGTTTTTTTTAAAATTTTGTATTTACTGTTCTTAGTTGTCTGAAAAAGGCTTCTTGCAGACACATTCAATGTTTTGTTGTGTCTTTTTTTTTTTTTTTTTTAAGCGTTCCCTTAATTTGTTTCACTCATTTCCTGTTAGTAATATCAGTATGATAAATATTTGTTTAAATTAGTAATTTCATAATGTTAATCTTTTAGTTTGATTGTTCGTTGCCGTGTGCCTAACTGCTAAATTCTGACAGAAATATGAATGCAGGGACCAAATTAATTTTCTAAATCATTCTTTGCTGATAAAAAGTAAATAAATAATTTTGTGCTGGTTCAAGGGTAACGGTACTATTAGCTAAAACAAAAAAATTTAATAAAAGCCTAGAGTGTAGAGGAAAAAGCATTGAACACTTCAGTAGAAATTCTATTCGCAAGGAGTGTAAAAGTTGTATATTTTAATAGATGACAATATGGTCCATTAAAAAAAAAATCAAAACTGAATTCAGAAAATGATACTTACATATGTATTAATTAAACATTTTTAGTACTTTTTAAACCTGATTTTAAGAAATTGTTGCTTACTTTACAAATGTCTATCGACTTAATTGGACTCCGTAATCCCAATAGAAGGTGGATATGAATTTTCCGATATAATTATAACAATAGGAAATTAGAACCTAAAAGTTTTACAACCTTTAAAGATGTCAAATGTTTGCATTGGCTAAAGTAATCTTTCAATAAATTGATTTTTTACAGACAGTTGTTAGGGAAAGACACACAGAATGTTCAAGGTTGTTAAGTTTGATAAAAATTTTGGGCTATTCTAAACTCTTATTTAATAAGTTGTCAGAGTTTAAAATTATATGTCATAGGAATCTTCCATTCACAAGTTAACTCTAAGAATGATCAACGGTGGTCAACAAGTTATGCATATGTACATCCTGCATTGCAAAGGCCAAATTTGCATGTAGCAGTACATTCTCATGTGACTAAGGCAAGTTATTCTCATGTAACTTAGGTAAATAATTCCCATTCAGATGGGACTAAGCAATTACAATGAAAGAAACATTTTAACACTTTAAAAAGACAGTGAAAATAATATAATTTTTTACATTTAGAAGAATTTTTTAATGAGCTGAAATTATTTTTACTCTGTGCAAGACTTAGATTAAATATTCTGTTTAATACAGGTTGAGTATGATGGATAAAATATGAGAAAACATTTTTCGAACTCATATTAACAGAAACTTAAAGCATGGAAATTTTTATGCCAAATTCCTTTAATAAACTAACACAGAGAAGATTGTTAAATGTGCTTAACGATTTTATATTTCAGGTCATCATTGAGAAAAATCAAGCTACAGGTGTACAGTTCATCAGAAATGGAAGAAAATATGTTATCAATGCCCAGAAGGAGGTTATTTTATCTGCTGGTGCCATTGGGTCTCCTCAGATTCTCATGTTATCTGGAATAGGGCCCAAAAAACACCTGGAAGACTTAAAGGTAAAAGAAATTTAGATTTAGAAAAAAAATAGTTTTAATTTTAGCTCAGACTTTCATATTTCTAAGGAAATGGACGGATAAATAAATCTACTAGATTAGTTGAGTATTTATTTATTTATTATGTTCCTTGGTTATTTTTTTCATACTTCATACAACCAAGATACCTGTTATGGCTGATCTCCCAGTGGGCGAGAACCTTCAAGATCACATCTTATTTGATGTAGGGGTCAAGGTCAATGATTCTGTAACCTTTTCATTGGACAGCATGACTAGTGTGTGGTCATACATTCAGTACAAGTTATTTGGTTCAGGTATCATTGGTGTAGTTTTTTTAAATTCTTGTCTGGCTTACAGTGTTGTACTTGTGCACATGTTTCAATACATTGTCACAGAAAAAGCATAAAATTTAACACTAAAGAAAAGTAATTAGACTATATATAGTCACACATATTTTTGCTTAATTTATTTGTGGATTTTAACAGTTGATTGTCAAATATTTCAAAAGTTAGTAATTTTTTTATTTATAAGTTATGATATCAGTACCATATTTAATTTTTTTAGGTAACAACACGGGTCTATTAGTAATTTTATGAATTTTTTCTGATTTATTACCTAAATTTGAAAGCAGAATTTGTATCATCCTGATCTACTTTGCTTTTTGCAAGTCAACTTGGAAGTTATGTGTGATGAACAAAGTATTTTTAATTGATAATGTATGAGCCTATTAATTATAGAATGCATCTTTAAAATATTTTGCTAATTTGTATGTCTACAAAATATTTTTATTATTGTGTATTATTTCAAGAGAATTTATAATGTTTCAATTTGTTAAAATTCTGGAAAATTGAAAAATTTAAACAATAAGTATAGTTAAATCATGTCCTTCCTATTTTAAAACAATTTTACATTGAAATTTTTTATATTAAAAAATAATTTTAATATTGTGACTCTTGAACTAAATTTGAGATTTTCATTGTGCAAGAAATAATTTTAACATAGTAATATGGTAGTTGATATACCGTATATACAAAAAATAAATAGAATATTTTATTATTATTTGCCTTCAAAGCTTAATATTAAACAATCATTTTTTTTTTAAAACAGGATCTGATACTTCTACCGAATTAATTTTTAAAAAATCTATGTCCATCAAAAATTGTATATTTTAACATTTATAAGTATAATTAATTCTTTTTACTTAATATGCCACATAATTTAATTTTTTTTTTTATGTGACTAACATTAAGAAAGTAATTTCTAGTACCTATATACTCATTCGTCTCCCACAGGTCCCTTTAACTCTCCCTATTTACTGGAGCTGCTGGCTTTCAGAAGTACAACCAAAGAATCCAGAGAGCAAGATTGGCCTGACCTAGAGATACATTTTATTAGTACCTTGCCCCACTCTCATCATAAGAAAAGTTTTCATTATACTGAAGATGTGAGATAATTATAAATCATAAGAAAAGTTTTCATTATACTGAAGATGTGAGATAATTATAAATCATGGAAAAACTTTTTGCTCCAAGTTTCTTATAATGAAAACACAATACTTTTGCTGAGCTCTGAAATCCGTCATCAAATGCAAATAGAAAATGTAAAGTGTTTTTATTGAAAATTCTTTTGCCAGTCACATGTATCTGATGGGGAATATAATTTAAATTTTAAATTTCAAAACACATTAAGGAAGGTATTATTCATATTAAACAATATTCATACTATGGATCAATAATTTGTGGGCTTTGGCATGTGACATTCTCATAAGTTTGTTCTGATCTCAAGGTAAATGCCCACTTATCAGGCAGGGACCAGTTCAAATTCGGTTTCATGTGTGCCCCAACACTGCTACGTCCAGAAAGCATAGGGAAGATAACTCTCCAGTCCAGTGATCCATTTGATTATCCTTTGATACATGCTAATTATATGGACAAACAGAATGATGTGCAAGTTTTAATTCGAGGTGATGAAAAAGAATCCATTTCATATTTCATTTAAGGGTACCAACATTGACTCTTCATAGTAACTATTCCTTAGATATTGATTTAAAATAAAAAACCTTTCACATTTCTTACAAAATTTTGATAGTTCTTAGGGAAAAGAGAATATTTTAATAGTCAGTAGTTTATTTTTTTTTAAAACACACTATTTTAGTTTTGTTGCATCCCCAAATCTAAAAAGAATTAGTTTGGGATTTTTGGATTAACTGTGAAGAGTTCCCAAGGGGCCCTTGCATTTCATTTGAGCAGCCCTGCCAGCAATAAAAAGTATTTATTCTGTACTAATGCCTTCTCTCAACCAAATCTCCTATTTTTTATTTTTTTTTATAGTTATAATTAAAAATAGAAGTGATTATTTCACCCATAAACAGGTTATAATTTTGTTATATACAATTTGGCACATGGAGAAATTTGATTTTAGGATCAATGAAATAGTTTAAATCTTGAAAAAAATCCACAGGTATCCAGGAGTGTGAAAAAATCATCAGTGCTGATGTTATGAAAAATATTGGAGCTGATTTATCTGAGAAGAGAGCTGCCTTCCCATGTCAAGATCACAGATACAAGTCGCATGAGTACTGGGAATGCTTGGTCAAACACAGATCACTAACATCTTACCATCCTGTTGGTACATGCAAGATGGGGCCAAGGGGAGATCCTACAGCTGTAGTGGATTCTAACCTAAGGTATGTCTTTCACCTCCAACTATGCACTTCTGTGTCTACATAGCTACTGATGGGTATGACAGTTTTGAGACACTAGGTATCATTGAGTTCTTGTCTTTAGCTTCAAATCAAATTTTTGTTTTAATGAGCAGAAAAGTTAAAATAATAAAATTTAATTATTTTTGTCTCCAACAAATTTCTCTACCCAATGTTTTTTTATGCACACTGCATCTTCAAAACGACAGCATAACATTCAAGATACAATTTTGTTGTATTAGTTCCCTCAACGGTTGTTGGTAAAAGATTAATCTGAAGCTTAATAATGATTTAATTTCACATTTCTTTTCTTATAATTTTCTAGAGTGCATGGCATCTCAGGATTACGTGTGGTGGATGCATCCATCATGCCCTGGATTGTATCTGGCAACACGAATGCTCCAACAATCATGATTGCTGAAAAAGCGGCAGATTTAATCAAGAACAGGCAGCAACTGAGCCCATTGAATTTATAAAATGTGTTGAACTATAAAAAGAACTGCAATGATAAATATAAATGGTTTACTTAACCATTGAATAGTTTTCCTCCCTTGCGAGCTGCATATTTTTTGTTTGTTAAGTGTTAAGGCATATCAAAGGGGCTATACAAAGAAATAAATGCAACAATAATTTCAATAATTTTTTTCGTATTAGTAAATTTATATCTTTGATAAACTCTTTTGAAAGTTCTCATCAGTAAGCTATGGGTGGCATTGTAGAGTTCATAAATCACAATTTCTTACAATTAACAAAATTTCAGTTTATGAATTGAATGTCCTACAACTTGATCTATTCATCACTAATCCAGATTACTCTGAATTGCGTTAAAAAAATTTATAATGCATGCCATGTTTTTTGGTTTAAATTTTATCACAATTTTGTTGTATTATTTTCTTCAATTATATACACAACCCATGTAAAAAAAAGTTTCTGTACACAAAATGTTGTTTTCTTTTTGATATATTATTTAATCTTTTATCATTTTTGTTCATGCTTTGTCAAGTAATTGTTAACTCGGTGCTTCTTACCATTTTAATCAAATATTAACAGAAGGTCTTACAACTGTTTCATCACTGGTATCTACAGTTTTCACCTTTTATGGCTCTGTGGCAGAAAGTTCACATTGGTCAACTTAACGTAAATTAATACTTTGAGAGGCAATGATCATTATATATTGATGTTTACAATTCTTAGATGTGTTATGCTTCAACATATATTACCTATTATATATTACCTATTATATATTACCTATTGTTAAGACAATTTATTGTTATGGATCCAACTCAGATTAATAAAATTCCATCTGATTTATAAAAATGCGTTTTGTGTGTGGTAGGCCCTATTGACTAGCTCAGAGCAGATTTGACATTTTAAGCTGCAGAAATTTTATCGTTAAAATTAATTTCCCTGAAAATTTTTTTTTACCTAATGGATCATATTGAAATTTAAAGAATATTATCTTTATCAGTTAGAAAATTTTTTAAATATTTTAAAAATTAAGGGTGGTGGGGGGAGCGAAATATATTTGGATTGTTATAAGAATATAGCAGAACATCCTACTATTATGTTTGTAAAGGCATTGGATTGTAGTAGAGTAAAGCAGGGCATCCTACTGTTGTGTTGATAAAAACATTGGATTGTAGTAGAATAAAGCAGAACATCCTACTATCGTGTTGGTTAAAGCCTTAGATTATGGCTCTGACCGGAATCGCATTTGTAGAAATGAAAGGAAACCGCATGTAAAACAAGATTATGCTGCTGCGGCCATTTCATTTTCTTCACATAGGGTTTCCAATCTGTGCACTGCGCAGCCCTGGCGAGCTGGCGATTTCTCCCTGGGACCCGGGACGACTCAAAGTGCTAATTAAAGTTCATAATGATATTATGCAATATCGACTAAACATTGTTGTGATCCAGTGCAGTAAAATTATTAAAATATGTTTTCCTGTTCGTACATGTGTGTGTGTTTTTTTTTTTTAAAACTAAAGAGTGAGAGGGAAAAATTAAAGTAAGTATCCATCTTTTTTTTTTCTTTTTTAAAAAGTAAAATCAATTGCCAGTCCTAAGTAGGCCCTATTTTATACAGATCTCATCGTATCACGTGTGTGTATTAGCTCATGTTAATTTGTTTTACAATTTATCAAAAGAATTTACCTTAGTTATTGATGTGTGTGTGTGTGTGTGTTCTGTTAGCTATTTACGTTTGTATTAGTACAATTGCCCGTCTTCTGTCCTTCATATGGTTATGTATTCCTCTGTCCAGCTTGCATTCATAGGCTTAGCTTTGGTATTTATATTACTAACTATTTTAGTGTACCTTGATCTATACGCCTATGTACTCTCTAGTAGGCTGGTAGCAATCTCAAAATTCTAGCTTTAGAGTTAATATGGTAGCTCTGACTAGCAACTAGTCACTTTACTGACTAACAACTAGTCATCCTCCTGACCAACAACTCGTCACTCAAATGACCAGTAACTAGTCACCTAACTACCTAGGGTTTGGGACGGCCGGAGTTGTCATTAATGTTTCCGTTTAAAAAATTAGGAAAACCACATTGCATACAGATCACGCATAAAATCAAGCGATATAAAATATATATGAAGAGGACCGAAAATACAGCCTCAAAATAAGTGGGCCGCCATCTGCGCCCCCCCCCCCCCCCCCAAAACAAACCCCCACAAAATTTTTTAACACAACAAACAACTTTTAAAAAAAAAAAAAAAAATGAAAACCACATTGCATACAGATCACGCATAAAATCAAGCGATATAAAATATATATGAAGAGGACCGAAAATACAGCCTCAAAATAAGTGGGCCGCCATCTGCGCCCCCCCCCCCCAAAATCATACACACGTGAAGTTTTTGAACCCAATACACATGGTTTAAAAAAATAATAATAAACGCGATTGAATTTCTTTAACTCCAAATCTAACACACATTTACTTTTGTTGTAGAGCCTTAAATACAGTGTGACGTCTCCAGTAATTTTCTTGCTGTTACAAACTCAGATGCATTATGTTCCCGCTCATGACGCAAGTACACCATCCTGCTTCATTGAATATAGTTTAAATATAGTTATAGTTGAGTCACAACTCATTAATTATATCATAGGCCTTCTAGCGAGTGTACTTTTCTCTTATAGGATACGATATATCTTCTTTTTTTTCTATAAGTTCTTTATTTCCAGATGTCACATTATTATTATGAGGAAAGTATATCTGATATACTGTTTATAACATCTCTCCTATTGTAACTACAATAAAAAAAATCTCAGTTAATTACTATACGGACTTCACTACTTACTCTTGGGGTGGATTGTCATAGGTCCGGGAATTTAGCTAACAGAATGAGGGGGAAAAAAGTCAAAATGAAAAAAAAATTAATTTTGGTTCTCAAATTGATGCTTCGCGTATAGACCACAGTTTCCCCAATAGTTTTCGTAAAACGCCAAATAACACTCACAAAAGCTGTTAATACTTTGAAAACAAAGTCTTTTAAAAGTTTGTAAACTAATGTTGGACCGTTGCATTTCTAAATTAAAAAAAACAAAAAAACATTTATATCGCCTTTGCATACCTATTCATCATAATTTAGTGCAATGTTGATGTTAAAAGTACAGCATTTCTCACCCTGGAGTAAACTGAGAACCTGTCTGATGACATTCTGCAACTGATCCCCAGAAGAAGAAAGCTTACTGGGCGGCGAGTACTGACTTAACACCTGTAGGAGAGGCTCTCTGGTTGACTGCGCACCTGCACACACACAAAAATACTCTTATTTTGTTTTTGTTTTTTGGGGGGGGGGGGGGGAGCTAATTTAGTTAACATCAGCTTTACATAAACTATTCTATAGGTAACTTTTGTATATATATTTCTAGAGCTATTTAAATACTAAGTTTTGGAGTCTGCTGTTTGAGGTTATCGCGGATGCACCATCACGTGACTACAAGAGTCAATTTAAGGGCAAGGTAAAAGAAAAAATAAAAAAATTCATTTCTAAATAGGAAATGGCGGGGTAAAAAAAAAAGGGGGGGGGGGTTCTGCCACAGGCGGCACACATTCTATATATATTGAGGGGCGGGATTTTCGAACAACTACAGAATTAGTTCGTCCGGGCTGCAAAAATCTTGGCCCAACCCAGGCGGCACTAACATTAGTTACATCGCTTCAAAGTATTTATTTTATATTTCATATTCTATAATTAAGTGAAGCAAAAAGTAAGTGTCGTTTTTTCTAAGCATGATGTGGAGAAGTAACACTGTGTCACAAAAATATTTGCTTCCCGTTAATTTTGACCAGTAATTACACTGGCTAACACAAAATTTGGTGCTTCAGATGTTGAATTGTATCTAGGCATATTGGGCCCGCTGATTCCAAAAATAACATCAGATTTCCCCTATCAATTCTGGATCAGTTTTCCCCTTTCAGCTCTGGATCAGTTTTCCCAAATCTGCTCTGGATCAGTTTTCCCCTATCAGCTCTGGATTAGTTTTCCCCTATCAGCTCTGGATTATTTTTCCCCTATCAGCTCTGGATTAGCTTTCCCCTATGAGTTCTGGATCAGTTTTCTCTATTAGCTGTGGATCAGATTTCCCCTATCAGCTATGGGTCATTTACCCCTATCAGCTCTGGATCAGATTTCCCCTATCAGCTCTGGAAACCAATCTAACTGAAGTGTTTTCCCAACAAGAATAAATAAAGACCGGGAAGATGATTTCATTTCATTGAGTTTTATGAAAGATGGGTCAGATGTGATTTTGTCTGATCCATGGACCAACAAAATTCCAGCTTTCAGATTTTCTGTCATTCGTGCGTAGTAATTTATTTGATGTGCATTGAATGTTTCACTTAAAGCATTTACAAAATGTTTTATCAGACATGCCTAGATTTATTATATATATATATATATATATATATATATATATATATATATATATATATATATATATATATATATATATATATGTGTGTGTGTGTGTGTTGGTTTGTTTTTTGAAGTATAGTTATCCTATCATATTATTATGTTACTAAAGCTCAATTTTTAAAATATTTTTCTCTGACCATTATGTTGACCACCATGTATCCTTTGAAGTCCAGCCTTTTCTTGCGAAATTTTTATGGTGGAGAAAAAATAATTTTGTTGTTGTTGTTGTCATTTATTAAATATTTAAAACCCCGTTTTGACTGTTACTGTCAATAAAGAGACGCCATTCCCTAGAGATCTGAATAGCAACTTGTGCTTCATAAAGTTTCTAACGCCAATGGACAGCAAGTAAAATTTTGCCTTGTGTATGAAATAATGGCTGCGTATGCTTCTATTCCTTTGAATTGAATATAATGTGTGTTCTAGACTGAAGTGCATTCTTTTCCCCAATTTGGGGGGAGGGGGGGAGGATTCGTCGACTGGAGCAATTACACTACACAAGTTTTGCACACAATATGAGATGCCAATAACTTTTCTTGATACCAGATACGCCAGGGGTGTCAAACTCAATCGCCCGGAGAGCCAAAACTCAAATCACATGTAAGGTTGCTGGCCGAATAGGATAAACATTCAATAAGTGAAAATTAATGTCTTTTTTAAAAAAATCATTTATATAAAGAAAATAGAAACACAGTTTTAATAATTAAAAATCCCTGGCATCCCCATTTTCGTTCTTATGCCAGTTTGTCCGAGCTGGATGTTTGGTATATTTTCTTGGCTACAAAAACAAGTAACGTTCTGTGTCATTGAGATTCTCATGATGGACAGCAAGTGTGCATCAGTGAGACGACTCCTGTGTGATGTTTTGTTAATCTTCATCACACAAAACAGCTGCTCACACATGTATGTGTTACCCAACATGCTCAAGGTTTGAGCCAAGTGTAGATGAAGCTGTGGCATCTCTTCAGGAATGAAACGAGTGAACTGTGCAGGCCAAACTGTGTCGTACTTTGCCTTTAGTGTCCCATTATACTGGAGCTCTATTATCCCCATCTGCAAATTTACAGGTGCAGTTTCCACGTCTTTGACAAATGGCATAATGAAACAGCTGGAAATTACATTTCTGTGCTTCAAAGTCACTAAAGCGCCGTGAGATCTCGGCGCGAACTAAGCGAAGTTTTTCAGCAAATTGTGCACTGGGAAACACCATAGCGTTGACTTGGATACAATTGTACGCCGGTCAAGACCACCCGGGCCAGATTTAATTGTACGGCGGGCTGGATGCGGCACGCACGCCTTGAGTTTGACACATATGAGATAAGCTATATATGTTCTTCGTTTTCAAACTTAGTACATATTTCCTACCTGGCTTAAAAACAAAATCTAAAAGCAGCTGCTTTAACAGATCAGGCTGGGTAGCTTTAGAAATAAAAAGGTATATAGTCTAAAAAGAACACTATTTGCACATTTTTGCACATTCTTATTATT